CAGGCGGGGTCTGTCTCCGGGACAAGACGCGGCGGTCATTGAATGCCCGTAGGCTATGTAAGTGCGCGAGGGCTCCCCGAAGGGGTGTGACGGGCGAGCGCCGGGCGGGCGGCTTGTCGTAAGTCAGCTGCGGACGGCACCCTATTTGGCGCGCGGGCGGGGCAGCTGGGGACGGCGGCGGTGGGGCGGTGAAAAGGACTCTTTGAGAGAGCCCAGTCTTGCGACCTACTTTCTTTCCGTAGAGAAAACTATCTTAATATAATAAAATTTGGTGACTCCACAATATACCAGTTCGGAACTCTATCACACGAACAGTAAACGATGCTAATTTCAAGAATGTGATGTTAAATAATGTGAAATGTCTATTATGCTTGCCACACGAGCATGGCGTTGACGCACTTACGCGGATCGACCAAAGCGATTGTGTGCCGTTTCGCATATGATAGTGTTATTCTACGAGACGCGTTTCTTAACCTCGCAATGTTTGTGTGCAGGGGGTTTCAAAGAACAGATAGAAAATTCGGTGACACAGAGGAGAGAATTCGTAAGTCAGATGAAAGACTAAAAACGGCGTTTGTCAACTGGCGGAGAAATCGGACTGGACGTCTGCCAATGAAGTAGTGGATGCAGCAGTGAAAACAGCAATCTCTCTTCCCGAAATTAAAACAAAAGCTGGCGGCTCACTTCCTAACTTTAAAAATTACATCTTACTTGCAATCAAGAAACTTTGGAACTGGAAAATGTCGCCTTCTAAATTTCGAGCATATCGAGGAATCTCCCATCACGTCTATTAGTCTTAGCAGAAGGCTTCAAGTGATAACCAGACTGCTGGTCATTTTAACCTTAGTCATAACTACCTGATGAAAAAGTCTATCCCAAAATTAGGGTCTTCCAGTATCTACTGGTACCTTATTGTTGATTGCCATGTTTTGGTAACTGAATGAGCAAATATTAATAGTGATCTTCATTATATATTTAACTCTTTTTCGGGATACATGAAGATAATGCAACTCCTTACCAAAAGTAATCTGGAAATTGTATTTTACAATTAATTATATATTGTCAACCACATGCACAAATGCTATATTAATGATCTATCTCTATGTACGTGTGCTTGCTACTTTGTAACTATTGTACATTTGTAAGTACTGTATTTTTGTAACCGGTCGTCAATGACTTATTTGTTTCTAAGACGAACTTTAATAATTAAAAAAAGCGGTATATTTCCTCCCCCAGACGTTGAAAAGCTGAATGTGAAAGAGTGTGGCTTGTGTGCACAGCCGGCGTGTTCCTGGCGTCAGTGGGAGGTCTGTCGGCGGTCGTGGGCTTCGGCACCGCGCTGGCGGCCTCGCGGCGCAGGGAGGCGCAGGGCTCGGCGCAGGGCTCGGCGCATGGATCGGCGCGCGCGGCGCTAGCGACGGCCGCGCCCTCCGACGGCGCGCTCCTCGCACTGCGCGCCCTCGCCTGGGGCACCGCCTACGCTGTGGGCGGCGTCGGCCTCCTCTGCTTCGGCGTCTGGAAGCTGAGCGGGGCCAACGACGTAAGAATACACGCTCTTTCTCTAGTATAGGATTCCATTAAAAAACGTACAAAGACGTATCTTGTACTCAAGTAGCCCCTGTTTATGCAATCGACTGTTCAAACGGCATCTTCATATCTTGCACGATTGAGGAGATACGAAGGGTGTTCTCACTTAGTTGTGTATATGTACACACACAGGGTGGCCAGCGAACCTGGAATCCTTAAAAACAGGTATTTTTCGTTATTTTTTGATGCATGCCCAACATTTAGCGCAAATTCACATACGGCATCATATTACGAAAATGATTCAACTCAGAACGTGATATGACGACGGAGAATTGAAATGTGTATTAAAAGGGCCACCTATATTCTCGAGGATTGCGTGTATCACCAACTTCAAATTTTGCCGCGTGAGTAGGCGCAACAGGTAGAGTACCCTGCGGATGTCAAAACTCCATTGAAATCGCCGACCACGATATGAAAGTGTCCTGTAGCCCAAAAGCTTGAAACTATCAAATATGCTGCGTGAGCGTTAGAGGCTTATTGATATTTGAAGGATATTCCAGGCGTGGTTCTATTACTTCGAAAATGTTCAGTGACTTCGACATTCTGCATCTGGTTACGAAGTGGTCATCGTCTAGAAGTCATTTTTATTCATTTATTTATTTATTTATTTATTTTGAGAAATTGCTTGTTAACACTTCGTCACTCGCGCGCCCTTTTGTAGCTCGTTTTTCGATGCAAAATAAGTTTCTATTGTACAGGAGTGAACATTTCTGGTTAACAGATTTTATTATCAGTTGCTATCACTTATTCATAATTCAACTGTTAGTAAAAAAGTTAGGATAAATATTCCAGGGCTCCAGGAAACGTGCACGTATATCGCACATGTGCCCCATTAACAACAAAAGAATAAAATAACAAAGTCAAACAACTACAGTGTACGCGTTTGATGCACTCTAACCTCACAAGAGTTTGAGTCGCTTATTGGTAGGGTGTAATATACATAATTTAAAAATTTTTTTGATGATCGTCAGGCGAATCGACCTTGATGAAGCGTAAATATAACGTTAAACGTGTAAAAATCAGATATATACAATTTGTGAATTGATGAACTCAACTAGCATCATCTTGTGGTGGAGCGCAACCAAACTCTTGCACATTTATGCACTCTTGCATCTGTGATGCAATGCTTGGCGAAAAACGTCCAGGAACAGTTATTTTGTGAATATATTAAAGTTTATTGTTGTAAATCACAGCCTACAGCACTTCTGACCTTCAAAGGACCATATCAGTCATCGGTATTCGTCCAGGACATTAAGAGATTATCGAGTACCTGGCGTTGCCCGAGCATTGATTATAGGAAATTATTAGCTAGGGAGAGGACTTCTATTTATTTATTGATTAGTGATTCTGGGCACATCAACTACCACTCATTAGTCCCGTAAGTGTAATGCTTGTTTTTGCTCGGGAGGTTGCAGTGATCCCCCCCCCCGCTGTATGGCGAGATCCACCGCCGACCTAGCGTCGGCTAGCGGTGTTTTCCCCAACTAGGTATCCCAGTAGCGGGGCAAGGCCCCAGCCGAGTCCCAGCTTAGCTCCCGACGGGTCTCACGGCATGTGTGGTGGTGTAGTGTGTGTAAGGGGTGAGGATAGGACAAGGAAGGGGAGGTGAGATCGCTCGCGGTCCGTGGCCTGTTTGTTGGGGTACTGCTCCGGCATTCACTTTGTGTTAATCGGCGATACCACGTAAAGCTACCAATCAGAGTAGCCGGCCGCTAGAATTCTTCTCCAGACAGCAACTGAATTCGACCTAGCTGACTAGCTAGTGTCGAAAATCTTGCCACCGTCTGGGCTCGATTCTAGGTTCTCCCAGTGAGAGGGACTTCAGTTGATGACCTGAGCCATCTCCCCCGGATAATTTCATTTATTCATGCCGTGCGGTGGGGCCTATTTAGTACTTCTATCCATTGTATCCCAGCTCCGCCGTGCCCCGCCCACCTACACATGTCTTGTCTTGTCCCTTATTTGGAAATTTCCAGTCTACCTCGCTCACATATTACCACCGCCTCCGAATTTGACTGTTGGCCCTGCACACGCTGGCAGATAACGTTCACCGGGCATTCGCCATCCCCACATCGGATCGCCGCATTATATACCGTGATTCGTCACTCAACACTAGGTTTTCAACTGTTCAATTGTCCGATGTTAACGCTTTTTACTCCAAGCGAGGCGTCGTGCATAAACCTGCGTGATGCGTGGCTTATGAGCAGCCGCTCGACCACGAAATCCACGTTTTCTCAGTTCCCGCCTGTTATAGTGCTTTTATTGGATTCTGTTTCTGTTTGGAATTTTTTGTGTGATGGTCTGGATACATGTCTGTCTATAACACTTTACGGCCCTCTTCAACTGTCGGCGGTCTCCGACATCAAAAGACGGGGTTGGCCTGTTCACTTTTGTGCTGTACGTGTCCGTACCGGTACGTTCACGTTTCCACTTCACCATTACACCAGGAACAGTGGCCCTAGGGATGTTTAGGAGTGTGGATGTGCGAGAGTTCCGCCGAACGCCCAATTTTATCTCTCACGATGTCTAATGACTACTGCGGACGCTGATATGGAGTACCTGGCAGTAGGTGGCAGCACAGTGCACTTAAATGAAAAACTCATGTTTTTGAACGTGTCCGGGTACTTTTTATCACATAGTGTATATGTATATGCTTTCTTCCGAATGAGCTAGAGATTTCAAGAAAAAAATCTAATATTTTTCAGAAAATGTCGTAGGGCATTGTTTTTCAAACTGTGCGTCGCAGCTCCGAGGAACGTCGCTGCCATATGGTAAAGGCGTCGCGGTAATTTATTAAAAACGATTTTTCTATTTGATTTACTTTAATACTCATGACTTTTATGTCTACAAAATATTTTTGTACAATCGAACTGTGTTATTTATAATGTATATGATTTATCTTACTAATTAATTATAGATTAATTAACCTGGAAACTCCTTTACAAGAACCTTTTGTGGCTCCTAAGCATCAATGTACATCCCTAGTGCACACCGCAGACAGGGATATTTATTCCTCCTACCTACGCAGATCAAGAGTTCTAATGCCCACGTGAGCTGTGTGTCCGACCTGTTTGGTTGAGATGGAAATGAAATGTCAAAAGAGAATTTCGAGTCGCATTTTCAAATATTGAACCTAGATTTGAACAATTGATGAAGAAGCAAGCTCTTCTTTCCAATTTTTAGAAGAATTTTGTTACAAATAAATAGTTGAATAAAATTTGTAATGTGTTATGTCGCTAATACAGCAATTTCCTGAATACCTAATTAGAATGGAGAAATAAAATAGCTTTTTATATCCTACAGTCATTTGTGTCAAATTTTTAGTCGGCCTATGTTTAATCCTTGTGTTTGAAACTTTTTGTTGCCTGGAGACCTGAGGGAAGTTTCGTTTAGGTAAAAGGAGCCGTGGACCATAAATGTTTGAAAATCACTACCTTCGTGTAAAGTACTTACTCCCGAAAATAGAATTTTCTGAATGATCTCCGAAACGGCACAACTAAAACGTACCTGTGACGTGTTATCACGTTTCAGCAGCGTCAGAGCTTCTAATCTGACAGTTATCCGTGACACATCCAGCCGCGTGTGTGTATATGTATTTTTAATCTTATTAAGATAAGCTAAAATTAATCATAGGTTTCTATTTAAAAAAAAGAGTGGAACCTCAATATCTTTGGAATTAAAATAGTTATAGACCGAAATATGCTGTAATCAAGTAGCCCCTGCCTATAGATTATATATATATATATATTATATAATATATATATTATATATTTATAATTATATATATATATACATACATCAGTACATACACATACACACACAATTGCATGTATCTCCTCTCCGTCCCCGCAAGTCTTAACTGTCTTTGGAACAATAATGTTCCGTAATCATTATGCGTGTGCGAAGTTACAGCTGATCCTTGTATAGTGAATCCTCTATAAAGCGACCATGGTGGTTCCGTGAAAGGATGTTATCTTGTAGATGGGTGGTGGCTTAGTACAGAAATCGTTCTCTCCCAAAATGGTCTATTATTACAAGATATCGGATATTTAGGAAAGAACCTATTGTATGGAATGTTTATGAAACGTTTTTATGTGATTAGTATATGTGCACGAATTATGTAAAATGAAACATTTTGACCAAGTTTTACTTTGCCTTTTTGAAGTACTTTTTTGTAGAATTTACTCTTTGTAAAACATTTAAATGGTGCGAGAAGCCATGGTACCGTATCATTGGCCAAGTTTATTGTTACTTTTCCGTAATACCCCGCTCTCCAATTTCCTGGAGAATGAAGATAAGGCACGGGTCATATCGCATGAATGCTTTTTACAACATGCCAATTTTCATTTTAAGCATGAAAAATTTGTTGTAATGTATACGCACGAATTTCCTGAAGTTGTCTCTTAAAAAAGGTTAAATAAAAAATTGCTATTAAGAGGCTGGTCGGTGGATTTGCATTCAATATATGGGTTTCATTGTAATGGGGATGTTATTTTGGAGAGGTTTCACTGAACACAGATTTACGTAGATATTCGAGATCGTATTGTTAAGGCGTTCTAAGACTTTTCCTCCTTAAAGCGCCAAGGGAGCAGCATTAACCACGCTGAATATTGCATTAAAGTTTTCATGTTTTCAGAAATGGGCAAATTCATTATTAGTGTAATATTCTGCTTTTGTAATGTATACATAGTGTTTCCAGGTAGAAAATTCATTTTTTGTTAGTATTTGATTTTAAAATTTTTATAATGTTGAATAATTAAATATGTTGTTTATTATAATTTAGATAGTTTACAATATAATAGACGAATTTCGCTCTTGCCCTTAATTTTTCTCTGTATTTTTTTCAGTTGAAAGAATTTCGATCTACGATGGGATCTGTACTGCCACGAATTCCAAAAAAGGAGTCTTCTGGAAGAACTGAATTTGAAGGACTTACTGATCTGTTAAAATATATTATTAGTGAAAGTGAAAATAAAAAATCAAAAGAATAGCGCAAAAGCAAATGAGATATATTACTAAATTAGTTGTGTACCTACTTCCCCAAACTTATAATTTAGTTTCGTGTTGAAGTTGGTCTTTTTTCAGTTATTCTGTGCAGAAATTTTTATACAAATACTTTTGCGAAACGTCATATTGTTACGCACATTTGTGTAAATTGTTTGAATTCATGATTTGGAGATTTTTCTTTCTTAACGATTATTATAATATTTATAATCTTCAAGCAGTACTTTTACGAGTGTATATATTTTTATTGAAGCAATTGTTTTACGGAAATACATTTTATCTTGTTCATATATAAGGTGATTTGTACGAATTCTTGTATGTTCATTTCATTTTTGAACATGGACTATTTGTAGTTTTCTAGTACCCGAGATTCTATAGTATATATGTATCCCCTCTGACAATATGCCACACTCCCATCCCTTGGGAACCCACAATGAAATGTCTCGGCATCCCACCCCCTCGCTGTCGCGGTGCTGCAATTCCAATACGACGCAGCTTAATTAATTATGTGTCAGTTCTTCCGCAGCTGCAGCACCCCGAGGCCCCCGCTGTTGTCGTTCAGGCGGAACGCCGGCCGCTGCGTCTCACTTCTATCTACGCTCGTCCCGACCGCTCCGCGGACACGTGCGCCCTTCTAGCTGCAGATTTTGCAAAACTAGTTGTGGCAAACACAACCTCAACACTCGTGGCAGGCGATTTTAATGCCAAACACACCACATGGAGTTCCCTCATCACCTGCCCTCGCGGCCGTAAGCCGAAATCAAATTGCTGATCCAAACGGGTGCGAGATTTACGCTCCCACTGCACCACCTATTACCCTTTTCAAAGAAACGAAATGCTCGATGATTTGGATATTGTAATTTGCCAAAAAAATCCATTACCCTGACAATTATGAGCTTTCCTCTGACAGCTTTCATGTGATAGAGGATATGAGACGCGGCGGCCGCTCATTGTCTACAGCCCCCACGACGCAGAAGTAGCGCACGGAATGGAAACAATTTCAGACGGAGCTGCAGTAGCGCATCGCGGACGCATCTACTCTGTCATGACCGCAGGAGATAGAAGCTGGAGCTGAGAAGCAACGTTCCTCTGAGGAGCAGCCATTAACATCTTTTCTGATTAATTTAATGTCTATAAAAACAGAGTGTGTCAGAGCACGAGACATTCAGCTGATGAGGGGTAGCTAAATCGATTAAAACGTAAAGTGGAAATTGAACTAGCTTAATACCGCAATCAGAAATTGGATAAATTATCAGGCCTCAAATCTGAAGATAATTCACTGTGGAAAATCTCTCGCATGCTTTCTAGAACTCCAATATCAATACAGCCGCTTCAGACCAGCACAGGAGAGTACACAGAATCAAACAGAGCGAGAGCGAAACACTCAGCTAATTATCTAGTATCTGAGTTCCAACTGGTCGAGGAGCCGCCAATACCGCACGTTGTCGAAGTACAACAAACGGTAATGGCGGCAGTGCACGAGCCCTCCGACGAGCTGAGTTTCACAACAAACAGAAGTCAAAACGGCCTTAACGGAGCTGAAAGCTAAAGAAACTCTTGGCCCGACATTATCTCTAACGATGTTTCAAGAAGCTGCTGCAGCAAGCCATAGTGTCTTTGGTCGCTTTGTTTAATGCTACATTTATGTTTCAGCACTTTCCAAGCTAGCAGAAGCATGCGCATGTGTTAATTTTTCATAAACGGGAAGAACCCGAGATTGCGCTCGCGGCTCCTGCGTCGTCCACACTTTAATTTACGCCCGCGTGTGAATGTTCTCGCGCCGCACTGGACAACTCGTGCGTATTTCGTTCGTACAGGTCTCTCGCTCGCCCGGTCCCAGATTTCGTCGCGGATTGCACTTGCAACTAGACCTCAGCACGTATTACTTCCCTAATAACAGGTAGATTCACTCCCTGCCTCTTTGTCCAAAGAAGTAATTTCTTCCAGGAAACTACAAAATTTTGCGGACGGCTAACTTAGCGTCTGTTGGAGTCCAACACTCGTACCTAGTAAGCGAAGTTGCTGCGGCGGAGAATAGGTAATGCGAGTGCTGCTGGCTTGCCGAACGGAAACGGAGATTGATGCAGTACATTTGTGCAGTTTTGTGAACGCACGAAAAGTGCATTGCACGTTCACGCCACCGCGGTGGGACCATTCGTACCCTTACAGTCATCTATGGTCAATCCTGTAACATGAAGAAAAACTGAAGGTCAAAAAATGACTAGCCTACCGGCTTGCGCATTGCGTGTTTTGAAATACTACGTTTATGCTTCAGACTCATTTCTCTGTTTCAGATTGCTCTTACTCCAGGAAGTGCTTTGGTCGCCTATACGTTGCCCTTTTGTCGGGTTGGTATGAGGCGATCTCGGAAATGAGATCATTCTCCGAGCCAGCTGCTTTTTCAAAGAAATTTTTAACTATAATTTTGATATGATTTTTCAGCAGTGGCATTGATGATTCGCGATGTAGAGTTTCTATAGGAGTGTATCTAGGGGCGCAGAAGGCGGCACTGAGACACTCGTTTTGAACTACTTGCAGTTTGTGCAGAAGATAATTTGCTGCAATTGCCCAACTTGGGCATGCGTTGTCCATTCTTGCTTTATAAAGCGTGAGGCGGTTTGCCGTTGACAGTTTGTTCCGCTTGTGAAACAAGCTTCGCAGTCTGCCGCGCTTTCTGTCGCTCATTTTCGATGTGCAGATTGAATGTCAACGAGCTGTCTAAAGTAACTCCTAAATATTTGACATTTTTAGCCCAATTATTGGCGTCTCCGCACAGCGCGAGTGGCCTTGGCCGCGTGAATCTGTCTCCGTGTGAAGAGTACAGCTGCACTATTACTTACATTGACTTTGACCCGCCACAGTTTCAGCCAGTCCAGGATCAGTAGCAAATGTTGATCCAAGTACTTCTGGAGAAGCTCGATATTTTTTGATGTGGCTATTACAGCCGTATCGTCTGCATACAAGGCGAGCTCTGAGGGTGGGTGGGAATATCACGCACATAAAGGCTGAAGGGCGTAGGAGCAATCACGCTCCCTTGTGGCATTCCGGCCCGTACGGCGCGGCGGGTGGATTTGGCATTCAGGTAGGTACGAGTGGATAAGGTGTATAAGGTACATAGGAAAGTACATGGAGTGGAGTTTGTAAAGGAGGCCGACGTGCCAGACCTTATCAAAGGCGCTGGCAACGTCGAGGA